AGCCTTCCTCTCCCACTAGAGCCTCCATACTCTGCTATCCCTGCCACTGTCCACTGTGCTGTCAGCACCCCCGTCCATTCTCCCCTATCTGCCCTTCTGTTGGCTCCTGTTATCTTTGGGGTTAGATGGGAACACTAGAACCACGTTTTCTTATTGCATGTGTTTCCTCACAGCTCTGAGAGTCTTTATACTGTGAAAGTATTCTGAAATCATGCAGAGTATCTTTTAAAGCAAGGACTCCAACAGGTGGCTGCTGTGCCCTGGAAGATACATTGGGCTAGTCTTTTATAATTTCTCTTTTCTTTTCCTCTTCTTTCCTGAGTATATACTCAAACTTGTGAAAGTGAAGTATGTGTATTTATACGCAGTAGATAAAAGATCAGTTATTTTCATATATAAATAAGTATAGTAGATGGACATTTATCTCATTCTCCATGAATGGAAGTTAAGAACTTTTCCAGCAGTGTTTTATTTTGCAGAGACCAGCTTGGGGGAGTTTCTATGCAACAGTCTAAAAATGCTTAGGTATTTTGTTTACCTTCTCAAAGGCAGCAGTGATTTTTGGACTTTCAGTTTATTTTTCACATAATCTTAAAACTGCCTTTTCCCTCCCCACCCTAGATAATTAACTTTCATGCTTACTATTACTTCATTAAACCTTTGCTGAGCTGTATGAGGATTGGGCTTATGTTTTAGATCTATACAGATGAATATGTCAATTCCTTCCCTCATTGAATTTACCATCTAGGTATTTGACTATGATTCCTTGAAAAGTTTTGGTTCTGCATTGAAAATATTCCTTCAGATCTGAAAATGATTTTATTCTTTTGTTATTAGCAGGCTATGTGGTTTTTTTTTCAGCAGTTTGATATGGTCCTATATAATGATTTCTTAGACCCACTAACTTTTTTAGAACTATGGTCTTCCGCTGACAACTTTTCTCCGAAAACTTCATTTGTATTGTAAAAATTTTGTTCACTTTTTAAAAATCAGAAACTGTAAACAAATTGTCTTCTTTTTGCCAATGCCCTTTACCATTAGTTACATACTTTTCTGTTTTTAAGATTATGGAGCAGCTCATTAATACTTCTTGAGTTCCTCAAAAACAGCAATACTTGGCACTACACTGTTCTATTCTTAGTCTGGAATATATATTTTTAACTTAACACTCATAGTCCTCCTCTTTCACTGTAATAAAATCTTTGATATTACTCAAGTCACTATTTTTTGTGAGTGGAACAATTTTGGGATTTAAAAGTCCTATTCAAGAATGTAACAGACAAAATTATAATTCTGTTTGGTGCTTGGCCTATAAAGATGAACAAGTCAAAATTCCTTTTCTCCTTGGGCTGTACAATGCCCACTAAAAACCCATGAAAAAGTAGCTCATTTAAAACCATTCAGGTATGAAAAAAAGTGTAGCAAAAAAGCATTCCCTTCCTTGTTAATGTATTCACTCTGTATGGTAAAGGAAGGTATGTAAATAAGTATATTCAGCCAAAGCTTTCGTTTTCTTTCCTGGTCTCAGATGATAATAGCTGGTTCACCTTTTTTCTACTAGTAGATGTTCTATATAACGTCTTTATTCCAGGAAATAATTTTAAAAGTAATTATCTTTAAGGGGCTGGAGAGATGGTTCAGCAGGTAAGAGTACTAGCTGCTCTTGCAGAGCATCTGGGTCAGTTCATAGCATCAGGCATCTAACAACCAACGTAATTCCAGTTCCAGGGGATCTGATGCCCTCTTCTGGCCTCTCGAGGCATTGCACACAGATGGGGCACTTACACACATGCAGGCAAAACAATACATTTAAAAAATAAATTTAAAAAATTTTAGACTAATTATTTTAAAATAATTTTAGATTATTTGAATTAGAAATAATTTCAAATTATAGAAGATGCTAGAATAATACAAGGAACTGCTGTTTTATGCCTTCACCCAATTTTTTTCACTGTTAATAGATTGTTGCATTTCTTTACTTGCCTACATTTCTGTCTCCAAAAGTAAGCATATGTACAACACATACACATATCCTTTATCAGTCTTTTCAAACATTCTAAGCTGCTGGCAGGAGTGCTGACATTACAGTGTCTGCTTCTTAAAAACAAAGCGCTTAAATAGAAAAAAAGCACTTATGCAATTAACATACTACCTTCCAGGAATGCATATTATGCTTCATTTTCTTTATAGAAATCTTCAGCCTCAGTTTTCCCATCTTCTTTGTCTTTGGCAATTGCATTCTATAGCATGGTTTTCATCCTAGATCAGCAAAATATTTCCTTATGATTCCAGTCAAGGGATGTTTCTTGATAGGAAGATCACAGAAAAGATGCTTGTAGTATATTACATTCAGAGGTGTACATGCCAAACCATGTAACTAGCAGTGATGAGAACAAGAGCATCATAATCATGAAAATAAACTCAAATTGTGACAGTATCCCATTTCTTAGCAAACCTTCACTTGTTAGCCTTAGTGTCGTTGATGACTGCTACCTAAATGATTACCAAATGGGGTTTATTTGATTCTTTCTGCATGTGTTAGTTGATGTTTTATTGAAAGGTACTTTTCTTTCCTCCCCCTTTTTATTAACTGAAAGTGTACATTAATGGGCTTTGAGTTTACACAAGGTATTGTAAATTGTTATTATTTTCACTTGATGTGCTGTTTAAATTGTTCCCGGTTTAGCCAGGGGGAGCATCTTCAACCTGGCTGCTGTGCCCATTTATCATACTCCTATCTTGTTCGCTGTGCAGTTCTCAGGACTCGCTGGCAGAATATGTTGTTCCTGATTCATCTTGTGCTTTCTTTGCTCTATGCCAGAAATCAGCCCTTTGTTAAAGTTAATCTGGCTATAATAGGGAAAATGTAGTTAGGTCTGAGAAGTTCATCTGATACATTAAAATCTATTCCTGTATTAATTAAATATTAAATGCTTATGTAAATATATGCCTGTTCTCAAGGACTTTGTATTTTAAAGTACAGTCTAGATAACAACAGTATGAGGTAACATAATAGTACTATGACATCTGACTTTTAAAATAAGGACAGTAGGGGCTGGAGAGATGGCTCAGTGGTTAAGAACACTGGTTGTTCTTGCAGAAGACCTGGGTTCGAATCCCAGCACCCACATGGCAGCTAACAACTCTCCATAACTCCAGTTCCAGGGGATCCAACAGCCTCATCTGTCCTCCGTGGGCAATAAAAATAATAAATAAAATATTTTAAATAATAAAATAAGGACAATAAAGGCTTGAAGTAAGATTTGAGCCCAGGCCTGGCAAGATGGTGCTTGTTGCCAAGCCTGACCACTGAGATCGGTCTCTAGGACCCGCATGGTGGAAGGAGAGAACCAACTCTCCCAAGTTGTCC